TCGAAGATGTTAAGCGGCATATGTTTGGCGCCGGGGGACCTAAAACAACATCGAAGCTAAGCGCCACATGATATAAAGGAGACCGCATCCGTTTATGATGTTTTGCTAACTGACAGACAAATAAACATGACTTTATTTAGTTTTCAGTCATCAAAATGTTTATAACTACTACGTTTTTTGAAGAAAGCGTTTCACGAGTCATATCTTTAGTGTTTTGAGGTTATAAATTGTAAAAATACTTCACTATTTTTTTTACATATCAAGGTTTTCAAATAGCACGGCATAATAGTGATTAAAACAACGACGAGTCAACTGGAATAAAAAGATTACATACGATTTACTAAGTTTATGAAAAAATCTCGTTAAATTAGGTATAATACAAACTATAATCTTACTTCTCACTAATACTGTTAATGCGAAAGTTTGGATGGATGGATGGATGTTTGTTAGAGTTTGATGTCTATATTGATGAATAGATCTTGAAGAAAATTGGCTTAGATGTAGAGGGTAGTGTGAAAGAAAACATAGATTACTTACCTTTTTTGTTTTTTAATTCCACGCGGACGGAGTCGCGGGCGAAAGCTAGTAATCTAATACTACAATCATCACGGACGTTTAGTTATATTCATAATAAGAAGGCATTAAAATAGAAATGAACAAAGATAAAACACAACCCATTCAAATAAATGTCGAAAGGTAATGTTCAATTAATGTATTTAATTTCTTAATATTGAATTTCAACACAACAGCGTACCACTGAATTAATTATTAATTTACATAACAATAATAACTTTATTGAGTTATAACTGTATTCGGTTACAACTCAATGAAGTTACGTAAACCAATAATAACAAATACACAGCGAGCAATAATTCAACAATCAAATATTGCGTTCGACGTAACATTCTGTAAGTTTATTTGTAATAGTGCATATTGAAAAAAGAGGTCCTTTATATGTACAGAAGTACAAATGTGGGGAACGAGCGGCCATCTGTCGCCCCAGAGTTGGGCTTGAATCCATTTGTATATTAATGGCGTTTTCATGTCACGTGTGTTTAATATTTTCGATGCGAAATCGACAATTTTTCGACCCCTTATGGATAAATAATGCGATATAGAGAACACCTAACTTCCAATTCAATATTACTAATATTATAAGTGCGAAAGTTTAGCCGGATGGCTGTTTGTTAAAATTTGTAGCCTAAACGGCTAACCGATCTTGTTGAAACTTGGCATAGATGCAGAGGATTGTCTAGAAGAACACATAGGCTACTCACTTTTGTTTTTTTTAATACCACGCGAACGGAGTCGCGAGCGAAATGCTAGTACATGTAAGATTATTAATGTTGTATAACCAAGCACAGAACCGTGACAATTATCATTCGGCATATGTTTCCAACAAAAGAAAACAACAAAAACATTGCCACAAGAATTTATAACACGTCAAAATCTGAGGAGGAATGGCTTCCTTTGGATAGAGACGTTATTTTTGAAAACGTATAAAATTAATTGTGCAGTATCGCGCATCTGCCGTCTCCTTTGTCCTTTTTTTTCATCTCCGCTTCGCTTTTAATACTGGACGCTATATGAATGAAAGTTTTAACACACGCAGACGACCTTTTGGTTTGGACAGACTCTGACATCAAAATATGTTTTACTTCACTTTTAATATTACAAACTAGCTGTAAAACATACGAATTCTGAAAAAAAAAATGCGTATCCCATGGGAATCTCGGGGATAATTTGTAACCCATGTACTACTCCAGACTTTGTTTTATATCTGTGACTAATAAGATATGTTAAAACAGTGCAATTATTAAGAAAGCATGAAATAAAATTATGTATCCCACGGGAACCATAACTATTTCCGGGATCTAAAGTAGCCTATGTGTTCCAGACTAGCATCTGTATCTATGCTAAATTTCATCGAAATTTGCTTAGTAGTTACGGCTACAACCTCTAAATCGCATTTATAATATTAGTAAGAAGTAAGATAAATGTTTAATTTTGTAGTTTGATTTTTGTTAAAGACAGACTTTTGTGTATTACGGTAACCCAAAAATACCAAGCTTCCAATCAAAACCAAGATGGCGACACTCGCTATCTGATCGGTTCTTGTATTATCTTATCTATAACATCATAAATAACTTTAAATTAAGATATCTTGTTGATCGTTACTAAACCTAACTTTACTTATGTAACTGATATTCTTTCTGATAAGTAATCGTTCTATATTCACATGTACTAACGTATCAAGCTCAAGTTACCAAAATTAACTCTCCCATTCCTAACAAACTCCCCGACAATTCCTTAAATTACAAACATTTCAATTACCATATAAATAGTTCCTACAAACTCCGAGTCAAACGATAATCATCTAATCAGAGATCATTCAAAAAGTTTTATATCGACGAGATAAGTCTAATCATCAACGAATCAAAGTCACATAAATTTTTTTGTGACTTTGATTCGTTGTTGTGAATTTGAGTCGTTAGACATAAAAATACAAGTTAATTGGTACAATAAATAGATCTTTAATCTTTGATTGATTTGTGTAAAAGTCGTTCGATTAAAAAAGTTTGTGATTATTACCAGCCAGTATGGTTTTCCTTTATTTTTACTTAAGAAAAATTTAAATTTGGAACGCAAATTTATTATGTCATTGTTCAAAAACATTACCACAGAATGAGTTCGTTACACGTTCAAAGATTTATTTTCTTTTCATTCGAGGACAAAACAAAACAAAACACATCGTTATTCGCGTCCATTGTTTAGACTAAATTAAAACGTTATTCAAATGGCTGCACAAACGTTTACCTTTTGTATAAAATACGATTAAAAAAACATCTTAATTGCATACATCTGTTATAGCGGTCAGATACTGAGTTTATAGCCGTTTTGTTTTACAATAAATTGCCAAGAGACAAAAAAGGAGACGTAAAAAATGAATGAAGAAAACAAAGCGCATAATGAATTAAAGAACATAATGAGCTGTCGATTTCGGATCGGAGAAACGCGGACACCTGCGTAGGAACCGAAATGTCTTCATTAAAACGAACCTCAGACAACAGGTGCATTTTTATTATAGGAACAAACCGCAATTTATGCTCTCTGTGACGCTGCAAATGTTTCCTGACAGATTGGTGAAGTTTCCTTTATTACTGTAAGTGATTTTACTACAAAAACATTGACAGAAGGTATTACTGACTCTTGAATGTATATTAAAAGCAATTATCCGACGTATCGCCTTATTAGGTTTTAATTATCTTTGTCAAGTCTTTTTCCATTTGAAAAATAATTGAGATTGGATATTTAATTATGTTGAAATGGAATGTTTTGAGGTTATGTGTAAACGAGCAGCGAGAACACCGAGGTCTTTTTTAGTGGAATCTGATTAAATTTCTGCAAAAATAACATCTTATAAATAATTGCTGGAGCTCGCGACTTTGTCCGCGTTAAATTAAAAAAATTATAGCCTGCCACTCACAGATAAATTACCTTTCTAACGATGAATGAATTTTTAAAATCGGCTCAGTGTTTTTGAGTTATTTCAATACATAAAGAAAATACACATAGATTAGTAGCTTAGTATTACGTTCTATATCTTTGTCATATTTCATCGAAATACACTAAGCTGTTCCGCATATACCTTCTACTAAACATCCATCAACCCTTTCTAAAGTTTCTGATTTAGAATATTAGTTAGAATAAAATCACTCTGATTTCTATTTACACAGGGACTAATAGTTAAAACTTGGAAGTAAGGGTGTTATATTACAAGAGCGTCATCAGTGATTTGAGAGCGGTGTTTACAAAGTCACGAACCCTGTAATTGTTTCGCTTCTACCGCTGACAGGCACCCCGGGGAAGCCCCGATTGGCGGGACTCTTGCAAGATGGCGGCCGACCTTTCCTGACCCATCCGTCAAGCGAGAAGGTGGAACATCTGTTTTAACATGTCAGAATGGCAGTTAATAAAGCCGTTCCTTCGTGTTTTGCTTTTAGAATTTGTTTTACTTTTTTATTTATTCTTTATTCGTTTTTAAATTGTGATTTCGATGTACAAATCCGTATTAGAAGTTTATCTTCAAAATGTTAGTAATAATGATACCATTAAGTCGCGAGATGACGTATTTATCAGCGTATCTCACTTTCTTCCGTAAAAGTGTTCTTGTTTAGCTATTATAAGAATCATGATTGAATACCGCAAAGAAATTTCTCAATAAAATTTCTATAGTGTATACTTTTATTTGGCGATTAAATAAATTTGCTGCCAATAAACAAAACATTAAACTCAGATTATCATAGCATAGCTATTCCCATGCGGCTTCATCCGCGTGAAGTTAATAAAACTTTATTTAATTGTTTACATTTGTCAAATTCTCAATTGCAAACGTCAAAATTACCGTTACCATAATAATCTTGCTTCCTTAATATTGGTAGCACATGAAGGTTTTTTCCATTTTATTTACCCCGTACGTTTAATAGCGTGAAAACATATAGTCTGAAACGTATCATAAGTGTAGGGCTTTTAATTAAAGAAAGAATTATTCAAAAATATGCTGTGATTGCTGATATACGCCACAAAGTAGTGTGTGTTTAAGTTTTATTATATTAGTATTGATTATGTGAAGCATTTGAAATCACAAAATGTAAGCTCACAAAGTTAATATAAAAGAATATAATGACCGACGCCCGAGGCTCGCAATTTCCGTTCCTCAGTTCGCTGCCGAAATACGCTGTGAATAATACGTGGTGTAACTTTGATTGTTCATCATGTTGCTTGTTTAGAACAATCGTTAGCGTGTCGTACCATCCTTTCTGAACTGCTTTATTTATTGCCCTCTTAAATATAATATCAGAAAAATAAACGGCTATAATACAGACAATTTACGACTTCATTATTATAAATAAGTTTTGTTACAAGTTTTGCGAAAGATCATTTCCTAATATAAAAGATTTTGCTTAAAGAATGTGTTGATATTAAAAGTTTTTACATACCTTAATAAAGACGTCAATCTCTTAAACATCTGGAAAGAAAAATAATACAATTATTAATTTATTTTCCATAAGCTTTTGCCCGCGACTCCGTCCGCGTGAAATTTTAAAAATAGTAATAAAGAAATAAAAATATAGCCTATGTTACTCACTGATAAATAACCTTTTTAACAGTGAAAGAATTTTGATAATCGGCCCAGTAGTTTTTGAACCTATTAATTACATTCAAACTCACAAAGTTTTCCTCTTTATAATATTAGTATGAGATCTACAGGTGGAAACTGTAATTAAGTTTTCAAGTCAAAAAATAAGTTCAATTGAAATACGAAATTGTTTTAGGACTAGCCAAGATTTTGTTTTTTTTTTCTTTTAGTTAGATGTGGATTAATTTTTTTCTATAAGACTAAACTAAAGTAAGCCGTTTTTAGCCGCTAAAGTGATTATGTGACAGAGCAACTTTTTTCTAACCATCATGTAGTTAAACCACGATTCCCAATGATTGCACTCTCAAATCCTTTAACACATAATTCCTTATACCTGGAAGGTTCTTACTAACACATCTGAGCGTCCATCTCTGTTGTTACAGTTAAAGTTTATATGTGCATCTCTTTCCTTGCCCCGTGTAGAGATCTGAGCAAACAACGTGCGTTCAGAATTAAGCAATTATGTTTAATTTCGAATCCCCGCGCAGTTGGCCGCGGCGAGGGAGTGTGTTATTTTGGATCATAATTTGTGAGAAGCTATCCGCTTGAGCAGCTGTAAATTATACACTATACAGGTGATTTCTAAGTAAAGTCTAATGCGAGTAAGTGCTTAGTTACAATAAAGAAAATTTTGGTCTTTGAAAATTTGCAATGTAAAGGAAAAAATGACGCGGTATAATTCTACGACGACACCGCGATGTAATAAATTTAAGTTAGTACAACAAAATGAGTGTAAAACAAATGAAAATGATTTCAATTTTTGAAATCCGAACGTCCCGTAAGTGACTCGATATCAATCATCATTTATATCGCAGCATTTTCGACGATACGTCAAAATGTAAATGCATTTCGAATATACGGTGAAACGGAATAAAAAAACAGTTCGCTCGAACAGAATTCTGTTTCTAAAAATCGTAACGACGAAATGATTAATATACTTCGAGTTCAAAAAGTGACACTTCACGTCAACGGTCTTTAATGTGATTGGACGTTTTCATATGAAGTACAACATCGGGCGGGACTCCCATTGGTGTAATTAAAAAGCGTAGATTATTATCGCCTCGTCGACCAGCCAGGTTTCCGGTGCGTAATTGTTAATAGGGTAACTGTGAATAGGGGTTTTAATGAATAAATAACATTGTTTTCAGTAAAAACTACTCAAATACGAAAGGTCGACCGTTATTTTTCAATTGGTCACTCGACTCCATTCTTATTTAAAAGCGCGGAACATTATTTTGAATTTCAAAAATCGAACATAACGATTCTGTTATTTTTAAATTTCCTCTTGGCAAAGATTAAAGGAGGGAAAGGATTTACGATCAAAGAAAAAGTAAATTGAACTGAATAAAGGTTTCCAGAAAATTAGGTTCGCTTCAATATTCTAGCTTCTTTCAAGGAATATCCAGCATTTTATGGTAAGTATTATACCAAAGACGTAATAAAAAATTTAATATTCCGTAGTCGATATCTCCTTGCAAATCAAGATAATAGTAGGAAACTCTGGTTAGTAGCAGATAATTCGGTTTAACGGTTGATTAATTTTTAATTGGGAATTCTAAATTATTGGGATTCATAATGAATATGAGATTTAAAAACATAACCATTCTTTAGGTTACAGTTATATCGATTTTGTGCTGACGTCACATTGGGACTGAACAATACTAGAATATTTAGAGCGCGCGCACACCTTTGGCATAACTATTTAGTTACGCTTTGATTCCTATCAGCTTATATGGAGATGTGCACACTACTAAATGTTTAGTTGCTAAACAGTTGAATGTGCTCGGAAACAGTCGACAATCGCACAATCGTTGTGCGATAGTTTAGTCAAAGGTGAGCAACCGCTCTTAAACGTCAATTAAAAAAATTAGTTATGCCATTTGGACTAAATAACGCACCAATCACACTTCCGCACATTTGAAAAGTGATTATAAATGATATTATACTTTTTATTCAATACGTATCTTTTATGGTACATAAACACAATAAAAGCCTTGAGGCAAATCAGATTATATGAAACTCGGCAAAGCAACTGCAAGAGTAGCTGCTAGGGGCGTCAAAGGAACACAAGCTCTTTGTAACGCATTGTTTGACGACACTGTAAAGAATTGAAAAGGACGGATATAAAAATGGAAAACGTTTTCGAATGTTTTACTTTAAACTTGTATTGGCTTTGTACTTCTCATATTACGAGTAAATACAATGTTTTATAAATGTATTTACTCGTTAACCACAAAACTTCTAGTTAACACAAAAGAGTTTTTTATCATTTTACTACGATATTAAATGATTAAGTGCCTGTCCCACCAAATTGCAAATTATCTTATAACAATCCAGCGTGTAAAATATGTGATGGAAGTATCAGATTTTATTCCCTTATCTGACAGTGACGTCATTTTCAAATTATCTGAGCCTCTATCAGCCAGTCGTAGGACAGGCACTAAATTGTCCTCATTTCTAATTTAAATAAATTATTTTAAAAACTAATTCGTCTTTTGTTTTAGCACGAGATACTAAGTATACCCTACAATATATTGTTACGAATATTATGTTTCAGGTTTCGTAACTTATGTATGTAACTTATACGCTCATGTCATAACCGTGTTTGCTATTATGTCTAGATGAATTACTGTCGGCTTTTAGTCATGTTTTGACTAGTTGAGATATACGTGGTATAGAGTTAACCGCTTTTACAGTATTATAGTAGGCAATCGTAAGTGGTATTATCTCACTAGTTATGTTGTATACTAATATGAAAGTGTACAAAAACCTTTTATATTCTGTTATTAATACATTGATGTGTTTGTGAAGTTTAATTATCAATATGTTTTGCGGAATGATATTTACTTTGTAGCTTTCATCGGATGTTTACATGATGTTCGTTCAAATATTTATTTAAATTGAGTATAATATAAGCTATATTAAAATGTTTGATATTAACATAAATGGATTAACAACACCAACGTATATTAATTTCAATCATACGAAGGTCATAGTTTGTTCTTTTTTTTAGTACATCTCTCTGAGTCCGGACATTTGAAGTTATTCCCTTCTTAAGCGTATTCATAATATCTAACCATCCATGATTCTTTTAATGCTATCGCAGCTAGAATTAGATAATCTGACTTCGTAACCTATTAAAGTAAACAATTTTCTAACAGCTTTGTTATAAACTTGCCTTCTCTTCGCCCTCTAATTTAGATTTCCCTTTCGCTTATAGTGGAAATTACCCTAGTATCGAAATTCTGTGGCAAATCGTTTGAAATGCAAATTGTGATAGCCGAGTGTATTAGTTGATGCTTTATTGGTTCCGCCCCGTTGGGAATTAATGAACTAGGCAGCTATAGTTCTTGTTATTATGTATAATTTGTTAAGATAACATGTTATTAGTCGTCAATGTGAGTTTGCTTCCTTAGGATTGACACAATTACGTTAAGTCATTGATGAGGTTTTTTTACTACTTAATTATTTAGTAGCTTTTACCTTCTACCTGATGACCATGTCCGGGCGGATATACTAAAAACGTACACGACCTTTGTGTTCTTAGACTATGTTATACATCTGAGAACCGTTATGACGTTCTGGAGTAGGAAGTAATAAACAAAATAGTATATTCATACCATGCTAACCTTTTACTTCTCAATTTCACCATTGGTTCATCAGTGCAAATACAGTGTAGGAAATATAAGATTTCTATAAATATATTTTGGTATAATTTGGTATAATATAAATTGGTGTTAGTTTTAGAGTAGACGACGATCAAATAGTTACTGAGTTTGGTAATTCTGCAAGATTTGAAGACAATAAAGCAAAATGCGATAGTTATTTAGTCTAAGATACTAGGACAAGATAAATGTAGGCACGAGCGAGCTTAACACAACGCCATAAATCAATAGCGTCGCCTCCCAGGGAGCGGTAATATTGCGATTACATTAACAAACATTAATGCAAATTCTATGTTATGTATGGCCTAGGGAAATTATTGCGATCAGAGAAACACAATAACAATTACACATTGTTATACATATACAAGAATTTGAAATGTCTAATCAAAGGAATTAACAAATATATTTGAATTTATCAATTGATAGCCTTATAACGAATGTTTTAAGCTAGAAAATTTCACTCAGACCTAAATCATTTGGAAAATCAAGAGGATGTTTGCTTGTTTTAGCTTTATAAAAACTCAGGATTCATCGTTGTTCATTCATCTACCCTTACTAATGTATGGTAAATGTTATTTTTTTTAAATAATAGTAGATTTTTGTTACTTTACTAATATTTCTTTAACCATTTTAATTAAGCTCTAGGCTTGTGCTAGGATATGGTTCACGGCAATAGTCGAACCGGGATTCGAACCCTCGACCACAAGATCAGTAGTCCGTACCTCTAACCATCAAAAGTTTCGTTGAAAAAGAATACAACCCTATTATCCTTGAATGGAGGAACCATCTACATATACGCTTCATCATCCACTTGCCCTTATCCCTTATGGAGGGTCGGCACAGTATGTGCTGCTCTTCCATACATCTCTATCAGCCGTCATATCTGAATCCACTCCTTTCTTAAGCATATCTTCCTTCACACAATCCATCCATACTTTCATCTACATATACGCTTACACACCCGAAACACCGGTGCAGAGGACGCGACGTCCCAGCTACTACGCAGCCATGAAGATCGCAATTTATATGTCACCGTAAAATTTTAAAAATTGTCAGTTTAAAATCCTACTGCAAAAAAACTGTCGTGGATTTGATTAACAATCATTTACACACAATTAAACAGGATTACTTAACCACACTTACATTGGAGTTATAATTGTTAGT